CAAGCATCAGTCAAGCCCAGGATGCACCTTACGCTCCGAAGGAGAACCACATATCTGGATCTCGACAAAGCATAAGGAAGAAGGAAATGCTAAGGCCGAGGCAGAGGGCCAGTTTTCACTGTACAGCTAGTTGGGCTTATCTGACCGTACCAAGCTCATGCTGCAGACTCTCAGGTGGATGCCTCTGCAGTTTCTGTAAGATATTCTTTCTTCCTCTCTCTCTCTCCCCCTCCCTCCCTCTTCTGTAAATTATTCTTTTGTGAAGTCGAAGCAGAATGTTAAAGGTGGAGAGAATCTATGAAGGAGAGAAAAACATGCAAACAGGGAAAATAATCGCCTCCTGCCACATCTGCCACTTTCAGACTGTTGTCATACGTGGTCCTTCACAGCAACTCCAGCCAACCCATATCGACACCAGCAAAATTTGAGTGCATATTAAAAATATGTGCACACACTGCTCGCTTAAGTTTTCAGCAGAAGCGTTTTCTTTGCCACCACAGAGAACACTAAGGCTGGGGACATAGATAAATTACAGAGGGACATGAGAAGAAGGTAGATCCCTACCACACGCTAATCTCCCCTGTCCTCTAGAGACTGTCTGGGCACAACCATCGGCCACGCTCTCTCCGACGGGACAGTCACGGACACCCACTCCCTTCCTGTGCCCCTGCAGCCCCTGGGCAGTCTCCCCAAGATGTCAGAGAGATGGGTGGGGGTGGGGAGCACACATCTCCCGAGAGAAGACTGCCAAGATGTAAAGCAAGCTGAAAAAAGCAAGTAGCGGCAACACAGACGGCATGTTACCATTTGTTTTTCGGAAAATGCGAAACAGAATTCCATTTCCAGATGTACACATACACGTACGGAGCAGCAGAGAACAATCTCACTACTCAAATCAATGACAGGGAAAACTGTCGGGCAAACAACACTAAGATGTTAGGATGACGTATGGCGCTAAAATGATGACAGAAAAAAATCATTTCGAATTTAAAAATATCAGAATATACAGACCGATTGCGACTGTGCAAAAATGTATCCGTGTACGTACATACGTTAAAAGAAGGGCGGGGGCAGCAAAAGGAGTCAGAGCTCTGAGCTAGCCTGAAGTGTACTCACACGAGACAGGCGAACGGGGAGAGGGTTTATGTTTCAATTCATTTTCTTAAGGAGAGAGAAAGAAGCCGGAAGGATACCCACTCAACGGATGACAACGGTAGACTCGGTAGTCTGTGGCTGCCACAGCCACTTACCACACTCTGGGTGGCTTATAAACAACAGAAATGTTCTCCTCACATTTCTGCAGGCAGAGAAGTCCAAGATCAAGGCACTGGCAGATTCAGTGCCTTGCGAGGGCCCCGCTCCTCGTTCACAGAAGTGTCTTCTTGCTGTCCCCTCACGTGGCGAGAGAGAGCTCGCTGGGGTCTCCCCTGAAAGGCACTCATCCCGGTCATGAGGGCTCCACCCCCACGACCCGATCACCTCCAGAAGGCCCCGCCTCCAAGCATCGTCCCACTGAGGATTAGGGTCAACCAGCAGACACAATCTATAGCAGGAAGGCACTTCCGCGTAAACTTTTTATTATTTCATAAGGAGATTTCTGGACTGTATTGATGGAATACTAATACGACTCACAAGAATGACCTGAGACCTTGGGGAGCACACACCCTCCCCCGCTTTGGCACCTGACTCTTCTACCCATCAGTAGGAAACTCTCTCCTTGAAACTGAGGGAGAAGGCCTACCACCTACCGCCACCCTCAACTTCACGCCGAAGTAAAACTGCCAAGATCACGAAAAAGTGTCGATGCCCTGGACATACCTGTCGCAAAAATGTCACCATCTAGCTGTTCCACGTCCGTTCCGCTTCTCCCGAGGGCCATTCTAAGGGAGGAACGCTGGGCTCAGGCTGGCCCGAGCCACACCCCCGTCGCCTGCCAGCCCTCTTCCTGGGCCAACAGGTAGCGCCTTCCTCGCCTCCCGCGGTCCCTGTCCCCCTTTCATTAAGACACCATTGGCAAAGTCTCTGTAAATCCCTTGGCGGTTCATTTCCCACTAATAGTTACTGCACGAATCCTTCTCTATTTTATTCTCGGATAAATAAATAAATAAATAAATACCCAGTTCAGAGAGCGATTTGATGCATTCGAAGTTAACAAAGCCACAGTAGCTTCAACGTGACGGGCTGTGATGAATAAAACCCTTTTCATGAGCCATATTTTGCTTTGGCTCCAAAAGGGCGACAAATAAATCTGAAAGGCTGACTGAAGGCAAGAGGAGTTAGAGACCAGAGTCCGTTGTTAACCACTTCCTCCCCCACCAACCCAAGGTCTTGCTGCCCTTGAGGTCCTGAACCTATAAATACATCCCAAGTGGGCAGCTGTGGCGTTGGCGGGCAACGGAACAGTGCTTGACGGCCACAGACAGGGGTTCACATCCAGGTGTTGCTGCAGAAACCTCCGGCCACACCTCTGCCCTTCCTGGGCGTCTACGCTGCTCATTTTCCCAGGGGAAGTGACGTAGACAGACTCGCTTCCTCTCCCCTGTCAATCTCCAAGTGCTGTCCCAGAGGACAGAAAGGAGGTCCTGGGGTTTCTGCAGGCAGACCCCTCTATCCCAGGGCCTGTTCTTCAAGGTAAGCGCCGCTCCATCAGGGCTGCAGCCAAAGCCTTCTGCTCACTTCTCCCTCCTGCTCCTGGGCCATCTGCCGAGCAGTGGGGCTTTGGCACACGGTGCAGTGAACTGGAAACTGAAGAGATCTCCAGCTGAATGTGCCCGCAGAACTCCCCACAGCCTCCGAAGCCGCTGGCTCTGAAACTCCCAGAGCAGGGAGCATCCGAAACCGAATTCTAGTCCCGCAGAGGACTATATTCCCGAGGATGCTCAGTCAAGGCTGGGCCACGACATGGACTCGCGATCAAACACTCATTAACTCGGACTCCCCGAAGCATCTTCCATAGACCCAGGCTGCTGCCCTAAAGGAAAATCTTTATTCTGTGCCAGAGTGATGGCAGTCGGACACGGCAACATTCGGTGATTATGGCAATAATAAATGAGTCTTAACTATTTAGGAGACCTTCCAAGACAAATTCCCCTTCTCGCATCAAGGGCAAGAATTATTTTCTTTTCAAATTTCCTACAACAGATGTTTACTGTCAGACTGATTTTTCTGCCCATTACTGAGGTTCTGGGCGTCAACGTTGATTATGCCCTTTTCCGACCCGATGTGCACCCAGCCCTCCCAAACCATTCCTAATTTTCTGTATAGTCTATATGAGACTTTCCCATGGGATCTTCTCCATATTCAAAGCATACATTAGACCGAACGTGAAGCAAAAGGTTTTTCTTTTTTTTAAAAAAAGGTACCGCTGCACAATACAAATTGGCCAATGACTATTTACGCTGCCCAGAGAAAGCCTCTGTGTTCAGACAGCTGATCGAATGCACCTGATCCCTCTCTTTTACCACTCCCCAGGGCCAGCGAGTGGTGGCCCATCATGACTGCAAGAGCCCTGAGCAAGACACTATCTCGGAAGCCCAGTGGGACCCAGGTGGGAAGGCAGAAAGAGACCCAGCAGCGGCTGCCTGCTGTTTGGCAGTTCAGGCCACTGGCCTCAAGATCTTATCGCCAGGGTGAGCAGAACACCTCCAACAGCAAGTTCACACGTTACCGGGGTGGATCTGAGAGCAGACCATGGCAGCCCACACTGAGGACCTCTCAAAGCTATGACCACGCAGATGAACTTGACAGCAAGGAAGCCTAGGGTCCAGGGGGCAGGAAGTGACACTGCCATTCAAGCTTTTGGTGGGAAAAAAAAAGAAAAAGCCATCTGGTTTTTCCTCCGAGACCGTATCACGGCTCCCCGTGGCTGTCTGGTCCAGAGGCTGGTCCGTCTGTGACACGGGTAATCAGTCCCTCATTAGGCCCAGGGCCAACTTCCCAGGAATTCTCCCTCCTTTCTGCAGCTGGGAACTCAAGGCAAGAAAGAAGGCAGGTGGGCAGGAAAGAGGACGTCAGCCTCCCTCCCGGGGTACACGTCCGGCCGAGTCCAGGGAGCCCGACCCGATCCTCGCTCGCCTTGATCCAACAGAGGCGACAGCCTTCGACCCTGTTCTCCCCCACAGGGTCCCTTCCTGTACCCCCGCCATTTCTGGGGGAGCAGAGAATTCAAGCACCGGCTGAGGTCTCCCGGGGGGCTCTGCCCACCTCCAGGACTTGTTGAGACACAGCATCCGGCAGGCTGCATGTGCCTGTGCTGGGTTCGTACTCACATCGACTCCTCTCCACTGATGGCAGTGCATGCAGACAACCCGGTTTTAGCCACTGCCATCTCCCAGGCTGGCCCTGACTGTCTCTCATGAGGGATCACAGCCAGACCTCAGGCTATGTTTCTTACAGTGCTTCTCTATGAGCAAGCACTTGCTCATTCCCCAAACCCAACCCACCGGCCCTATTCCACATGTTTTAAGGTTGACTTGGCAGCCCCTCAAAGGAGTTGTCCTCAAGTTACAGGCAAGAAAACCGGAACTAAGGGACACACAACCAGTGAGTGGCACAAGTGACCTCCCCCCAGAGCCCTGCTGCCCAGGCACCTCCCTCATCCTCCGATTAATAAGCCCTGGTTGATGTGATGCTGTGACAACGGTCTTATGCCACAGTTGGGTGTGCTGTCCTCTCCCTGGTGACATCATAAGCTCTTCAAGGGTCAGGGCCATGAGCGTGGTCACTCACTTTCCCAGCTTCCACATCCGTTCACACATACAGTGTCACAAAGCATGACGTCAGCCGCACTCTATATTTATAATGAAGTCTGACATTTAAAATCTGAACTTAGCAAAATGTAACTCAGGGGATGCTTAGTCATATTACCAAGAGCTTGTTTTCTTTTAGGAAAAAAAGTCAAATGCAATTCCTCTACATAAAAGCCCTAAATGGTTGAGATATCCATTTCAATACCAAAGGTCCCTTAGCCGTGTGCATTACATATGATCGGCGGTACTCACCAGGTGAGGCATCGCGAGGTCGGCCAGGTAGACGAATGCAGCTCCCAGGGTGAAGCCAACGGCCACAGGGAAGAAGGCGAAGGCACCGAAGCCCCCGGAGGACGTGGCCATCTCAACTGCCGGGGCCAGGAGAGACCAATAGGAAGCTGCTAACATGACCTGGAAAAACGCAATGAGCAACAAACCATTAAGCCAACCACGGGAGGCCTTGCAGGTGGGGACTTCAGCTGCTTCCTACGGCCCAAACCGAACCCTACAATTTCACATGTGTTAGGTCTTTCATCTTCAATGGTAGGTACTATCCCAACCAAAAAGCCTCCATCAGAATTCCTGTAACTATTGTCGTGAGAACTCAATTTGGGGTAGAATGGGGTTGACCTTGGGAGGATGGAGTCTGGTTTGTTGTCGTCTAGCCTCTATTTCAATGCTTCTCAACCAGGGACATTCGAAGGCATTTTTGGTTGTCACACTAGGAGTATCTAGTGACTAGAGGCCAGAGACACTGGTACACATCCTATAATGCACAGCCCCTGACGACAAAGAATCATCCGTTCTCAACATCGATAATGCTGCTGAGAAATCCTGTTGTAACTGAATACTTCCAGGACACGTCGCTCACTACTTCATTAGCGCCACTGTGCTGTAAGACAGCTCTAAGGGTTACAAAGGTCTTCCTTACGTTCGGTGGAGACCTCTCTCCTTCCAGTTTTACCCCTTAGCTCTAGGGCTGCTACCTGGAGCACCAAATAATGTAATGTATCTTTCCTCTGTGATATGTAACAGCCTTTGAAATATTTGAGGACAAGCAGCGGGTCCATGTGGGCTTGGTCTCGTCGATTTTCTTATCTCTAAAAAGGAGGAAGGGAACTAATATTTATTGATCGCTCACTATTTCCAGGGAGCAAGCTTCACGTTTGATATCTCCTTTATCATCGTAACAACCCTGGGAGGCAGATATTGTTTTCTATTGCTATTTGTAGATAAAGAAATTGAATCTCAAAGTAATAAGACAATTTGCTCAAGGTCACACAGTCAATAAGTGGCAGAGCCAGGGAACTGAATAAGCAAGACCATAATCACCTCAACGAGGGAGAAAAACACAAGCGGAAAAGAGAAAAATGAAGCTGGACCCAGATGTCCGTGAGGTCAATTCAATAAAAGATTCTCCAGTGTTTACCAAATTAAACACTCACCCACAGTCACTTACTCTTATAGATGTGGTGACTCCTTCCTGGGTATAGTACACCCACCACCCATCGTAACCATATGACAGTCATCACTGACACTGATGTAAAATACTGAATGGATTGCTAAACATGACTTCATTATGCTTTGTCTTGAAAAACACATCTGCATCATCCATCTCCAAAATAACATTCACGGTGACAGAATGAAGTATTACAGAAGTGACAATAAAGAACGAACCCACGAAGAAACCCATCTCCCTTCTGCCGACCGTCATCCGCACGGGCAGTCACTCTGGGCTCCATCCTACCAGCAAAAGCCTCAGAGCCTCTCACGGAAGCTTGCAAATGCCTCGGAAACTCCACAAGAGAGTGAAAACAGCTCATCGGTTCCCCTGCATGAGACCGTCGAAGGAAGCTTGTGGGCTTCTTCTCCATGCCAGGGCCTAACCCACCCTTTCCCAGACTGTCTTCTCACTCGCTTTAGAATTCAGCAGACCTTGGTAGCTGCCACTCGTAGTAAACACCCACAGAGGAGGCCTGGCAAGGAAGCAAAGCCCTGTCCAGCCCCCTCTCTCCCTGCCTGTTTCAGGGCCTGCCATACAGTCCCAGCACCAACCCCTCTAAAAGCACGTGCTCCAAGTACGACCACGCCCCTCATCCTCCAATCCCTCCCCAGAGCCCATCCTTGTCAATGCCACCTGGGGTACTTCCCCAGGCTCGGCTCCCCATCCCCTTCTCAGCACAAACTCCAGCCTCTTCTGCCAAAGCTGCTTTCCATCCCTCTGCACTGAGTGCCAATCTTTTTTCTGCCCCTACATGTGAGAAAGATACGATGTCCTCGTGGACAAGGGATGCGAGGTTTGCAGAAGACGTGTGCTTCTCAAGGGAGGGTTTGCCAGAATCTGAGGTGCCTGAAATGGAAAAGCATCCCGGGTGATTTGGGGGGCCCCTCCTTGACAATCACTGTTCTTTCTCCTTCTGGTCAAGTCCAGGACCCAATTGAATTTCCTTCATTTCTTTTTCTCGACGGCCTCCGTGCCTCCCACATAAACTGGAAAATCGCCAAAGAACTATCTGAAATGGAATCGGGTGGCCTGTATGAAATGACAACAGGGCTCAGAGGAAAGTCATTTAAACGGCATACGTGGTAGACAAAGTAATGACCTCCCCTCTTCAAGATGACCACATCCTAATCCCTAAAACTTGTGAACACTGTCACCTTAGATGGCAAACAGGCCTCTGAAGCTGTGATTTAGTTACGGATCTTGAGATGGGGATATTATCTTTGATGATCTGGATGGGACCGATGTAATCGCAAGGGTCCTTATGAGAGAGAGAGAGAAGGATCAGAGTCAAGAGAGAAGGTGTGATAACAAAAGCAGAAAAAAAGGAAAACGAAGAGATTGGAAGATGCTACGCTGCCAGCTTAAAGATGGAGAAAGGTCGCGAGCCAAGAAATGCAGGTGGACCAAACAGATTCTCCCCTGGAACCTCCGGAAGGAACACAGTCCTGCTGCCACCCTGACTGTCCCAGTTAAAACTATTTTGGACTTCTGACCTCCCATACTGTAAGATAATACATTTGTGTTGTTTTAAGCCATTCTTGTTGTGGTAGTTTGTTATAGCAGCAACAGGAAACTAATACACTAAATAAAGGCATACTTTACTTTTTTATTTTATTTTATTTTGTATTTTAGAGCAATTTTAGGTTCACAGCACAATTGAACAGGAAGTACAGAGAAGTCCCTCCTACTCCCTGCCCCACAGGTGCACAGCCTCCCCACTATCTACATCCTACACCCCAGTGGTGCATTTGTTCCAATGAACCTACATTAACATGTCATTGTCATGCAAAGTCTGTAAGAGATCGCTCTGGATGTTGTACGTTCTGTGGGCTCAGACAAATGCATAATGATATGTATCCGCTATTATAGTACACAAAGAGTTGTTTTCCTGCCCTAAAAATCCTCTGTGTTCTGCCTATTCGCCCCTCCCCCCAAAAGGCAACCACTGCTCTTTCTGCTGCCTCCACAGTTTTCCCTTTTCCAGAATGTCATAGAGTTGGAATCGTACAATATGTAGCCTTTTCAGATTGGCTTCTTTCACTTAGTCATATGCATTTAAGGTTCTTCTGTGTCTTTTTATGGCTTGACAACTCATTTCTTTTTAGCGCTGAAGAGTCCATTGCCTGGATGGACCACAGGTCACTAATCCGTTCACCTACTGAGGACATCTGGGTTGCCTCCGAGTTTTGGTAATTGTGGATAAAGCTGCTATAACACCCATGTATCTGCATGCAGGTTTTTGGGTGGACATGACTCTTCAGCTCATCTGGAGATATACCAAGGAGTACAATTGCTGGAAGGTTTGATAAGCCTTATTTTTTAAAAAATAATTTCCCAACATAGGTGGCTTGCCTGAAATGTTCCATACTAGCGAAGCTCCTTTAAATGCTGGGCATTTTTAAATCTGGGTGTAGTAAGATATTAACCAGTGATACAGAAGCAGGAAGTAATCTATCTGAGAATCCTCAATTACCCCTAAAAAGCAGGGCCTGGTGGGGACGGTAGGAGGAGGTTAGCACTGGGTTCAGGTCTTCAGGAATGAGCTCCACAGGTGAGTCTTTGCCAGGCAGTTCCTTTAATGACCCAGATGGTGGACACCATAAGCCCTCCAACAGCTGTGATCCTGCTTATAAAGGCAAAAACTGGGCTAACGACACCAGCCCTGTAGACATCACATATACCCATCAGCATCCCCTGCCCTTCCCCACCTATGTCAATAAAAGGAACGCATAATCGGGTTTCATCACACGAGGCAAAGCCCTGTGGTAACCCCAAAGTCCCTTTTGCCTCTTTATTCCCAGGAAGAAAATGAAAATCCCAACCCATCAGATGAGCCATGGGGAAGCTTGTGTGAACCTGACCTCTAAGCCAGCGGTGACGAAGACCAGAACAGCCCAAGTTTTTACTAAATAATCAAAAAAAGTCAGGGAGTGAGCATTTCAATGACGATAACAACTCCTGCAAAAACAGCTAAAGAGGAAATAAAGCAAACAATGGACTGAATGTTTAACCTCGGTCCCTGCCGGCCCGGCAGGCCTACCGCAGGGCTCCTGGACGTTGACTGAAGTGACCTCAGCAAGCTGAGGTTCGAGAAGCTGTGTGTCCTTGGCTCTTTTTCTTCATACACTTCTTGTGGCGCCTCGGCCACTATCGTGACTTAGGCTTCCGTCTACAGACGGGAACATGAATGAACGACTTTCTCTCTAAATGTAATTTTCAGTGTTGACTATGTTTAAAACAGCAATGTTTACTGTGCTAATGTGTAAATCCTGGTCCATTTCTAGTTAAATGTGGCCAACTGAACACAAGCTGGTGGCCCCTCGAATTCCCATGAGAGTGAAGGTAAAGGGGCCAGAGGAGTTCAACCACAGAGACGAAATGAGAGGGAGAGGAGATGACGGCCACGGCCGTCAAAGACAGCAGACTCCCCAAGGTGCTGACACCTGAGCCCCCGTGGAGAAGGCCCAGAACAAGGCGGTTCACCCCACAGAACCTCAGAACAGCCCGGGGCGGGGGGCCCAGAGCCACTGGGAACGGGAGTGCAGATGGGCTCGCAAAGAGGACTAGTGGAAAGCCTGGGTCAGATCCCAGATTCTTCCTGTCCCCCATGCGGCCCAGTAACTGTCCCTCTAGATAGTCAGAGCCCCCCACCACACACACACACACACGCACACACAGCCAGGAGTGAGGACCCCACACTGAAATCAGCAGAACGTGAGAGTCTGCGTGCTGAGGGGGGCCCAGCAAGTTCGCACGTCTTGGCTCTGCTGCTTCCCCAGCCCCACACCCTAAACTCCTGGCACAGGAGTCCCCATGGCAGGCCCTGCTTCTGGGGAGGCCGGCTGGGGACTTCAACCCCATGAGCAGCCTTTCTCAGGAAGAGACTCGAGGATGCGCTTTCGTCGGC